TCTTCTCTCCCCCCCCTCTCTCTCGTGTGTGTGTGTGTGTGTGTGTGTGTGTGTGTGTGTGTGTGTGTGTGTATGTATGTTTGCTTTTTGAGACAGGCTCTATAGCCCTGGCTGGCCTGGAGCTATGTAGATTGAGCTGGCCTCAAATTCACAGAGACCTGCCTGCCTCTGCCTCCTGAGTGCTGAGATTAAAGGTGTGTGCCACCACTCCTGCTCTTCTTGCTTTATTTTTTCTTTTGAGACAGGGTTTTTCTATAGCCCTAGCTGGCCTGGAACTTGCTATGTAGAGCAGTAGACCAGGCTAGTCTCAATCTCAAAGAGATCTGCCTGTCTCTGCCTCCTGAGTACTGAGATTAAAGATCTGTGCTACCATGCCAGCCCCTTCTTGGGTTTAAAAATTTTTTATTTTATGTGTATGAGTGTATTGCCTACATATGTAGTACACCTGTGTTGTGCAATCCTCAGGGAGGTCAGAAGAGGAGGTTAAGATTCCTCTGGAACTAGAGTTACAGACAATTGTTAACCGCCATGTGCGTGCTGGGAATTGAACTCTGGTCGTCTGCAAGAGCAGTCAGTGCTCTTAACCACTGAGGTACCTCTCTAACCCCTGTTCTTGGATTTTTTGAGGTAAGGTCTCACACTGTAGCCCTGGCTGGCTTAAAATACATAGCCCAGGCTATCCTCAAACTTGTAGCAATCCTCCTTTCTGTCTCCCCAGTGCTAGGATTACAGGAGGTGTAGTAACCCATGTACTACCATGCCTGGCCTGTCTAGTTTTTCTCACTGTGAAATTCTGGCTGTATGACATAGGCGAGTCAACTTTTAGCCCACTTAGGTGGCCTGGATCTGATCTGGGCTGGTGGACAGTGGCAGGGAATGGGTTGTTGACTAGTCTTTGGACGTGGGATGTGGGGTTAGGGGAGAAAGCCTAAAAGGGTAGGACAGTTCTGGGGACTTACCTGGGGCCAGGCCATTGGGTTGGAATGGGTTGGTGGAAGGCAGCTGGGGCTGGGCAGGGGTGGCGAATGGGTTGGTGAAAGCTGCCCAGGACAGAAAAGCAGAGAGGTTGTTGAGTATTCCTTTCAATCTTGGGTGCCTGTCTTGGATCCCCTCCCAGGTCTCCCCAGGTAGGACTTACCTCCAAAGGGGAGCCCTGTGTTGCCACTGACACCTGTTGAGACCGACTGCAGCGGGGAAACTTGACTGGGCATCCCAAAGACACTGATACACAGAGAGAGGTGGAGATGGGCATTTTTCAGCAAGGACAAAGCAAGCGTATTATGTTATCCCAGACCAGGCCAGGGAGCCAGGAGGAAGCAAGCAGGCTGGGAAAATGCCACCAATCTTCAGGTGAGTCACCCCCATGATTACCTGCCAGGGAGACCTCCAGCTGCCACCCCAGGTCCCAGGAGGCCACCCACATCTGCTAGACTGTTGGGCTGACTGGTGGTTGCAAGAGGAACGGCACCAAACGGAGATGCCAGGCTGCTCCCTGGATGAGGTAGATCAAACAAGGAGAGCTGAGGTGAGACCAGAAGGAAGGGGCAGGAAGGAAGATGGAGGTGGGGGTGGAGGAGTGTAGTCATGGCAGGAGGGATCCCTTGGATTCTGAGCCAGCCCAGGTTTCCCAGGACCACCTAGTATGGGACAGCCATCTCCTGCAGAGACTTCAAAGCAAGGCAGTAGCCCAGGCCTTCTCCAGCTGCCTAGTGCTACAAGCTCCCACTTTGAGAAGGCAATTCCTGATGTCAGCCATCCCCTCTTGCTTTGTTAAAGTGACATTCCTCTTTTTTAAAAGCAGTTTTTATTTTGACTTTATGTGTATGAGTATTTGCCTGCACATATGTAAGTGTACCACATGTGTGCAGTACCTGTGGAGGCCAGAAGAATGTGCCAGATTCCCTGGAACTGGAGTTACAGACAGTTGTTGAGTTGTCATGTGGGTGCTGGGAACTGAACTCGGGTCCTCTGTAAGAGCAACAAGTGCTCTTAACCTTGAACCATCTCTCTTACCCCTTTCTTTTTTGAGACAGGGTCTTACTATATAGCCTTGGCTGGCCTCAAACTCACTATGTAGACCAGGCTGGCCTGGAGCTCACAGAGATCTACCTGCCTCTGTTTCTAGAGTGCTGGGATTCAAGGTATGCACCACCATACCCATTTTTTTTTTCAGCATTAAACAAAAATTCTCCCTTCTCTTTTTTGACAGGGTCTCAGGGTCTTAAACTCTCCTTTATCCTCTTGCCTCAGCTTCCTAAGTGCTAGGATTATAGTAGTGCACTGCTATGCCTGGTGTATGTGGTACTGGTACTGGGGATTGAATCCAGGGCTTTGTGTATACAAGACAAGCAGCCTACTGAGCTATATTCCAAGCTTCTAAGCTGAGGGTCAAATCCAGGGTCCTGTGCATGCTAGACAAGTCAGAACTATGTCTCAAGGCTTTGATGTTTTTTAGACAGGGTCTATGTAGCCCAGGCAAGCCTCAAACTTGTGGCAATCCTGCCTCAGCCTGAGTGTTGAGATTATAGGAATGAGAGACCATGCTCAGTATTTACTTTTCTTTTTGTGGGGTGGTGAACCCAGGGCCTTGTACATGCAGGCAAGTGCTCTGCCATTGAGCTACATCCTAGTTAAAGTTTGGCCTTTAGAAGGAGCCAGCACTATAATCTGAATTTCTATTTTCCTCTTCCTCTAAAGGCTATATTTATTTTTTAAATTTTTATTTAGTGTGTGTGCAGGTTTGAGTATACCATAACATGCACGTGGAGGCCAGCAGACAACTTTTGGGGGGTGGCTCTCCTTTGTGGGCACAGGGCCTCTCCTTGTTTCTGCCCTGCTGTGTGCTTCAGGCTGGCCTCTGAGTTTCTGCATGATTCTCCTGTCTCTGTCTCACAATTCGTCATGGGCATGCTGGAGTTGCCAGTGTGCATCACTGCCTCTTGCTTTTTACATGAGTTCTGGCGACTGAACTCGGGTCTTCAAGCTTGCATGGCAAGTGCCCTTCACCCACTGAGCCATCTCGCTGGCCCCCTTCTATGCCTTCCAACCATAGGATGTAAGGCTGGTGGATCTGGGTCAGGCCTTTCCCCAGTCTGCCTGCCTGACTCAGAGTACACAAGGTTTCTGAGCAAACACAGCTTCCTCCTTCAGATGAGTCAACTCGCCAGTACAGCACGGGTGTCCATGTCTGGCTGCTTCCCTGGGGAGGCCCAGGCCTTTAGTCCCAGCTGACTCCTGTCTGGACTGCAGCCTGGGAAGTGCTTCCCTGTGGACACTAGAGGGCAGAGCTAGTCTTAACCCAGGTTCCCCACCAGCTCCAAAGCTGCACTTTTTTACTATTTCTTTTTTTTTTTGGGGGGGGGGTCTTTTTGAGACAGGGTCTCCCCCTGCCTCGAACTTGCTGTGTAAATTTGGCTCATCTTATCTCACAATGATCAACCTGCCTCTGCCTCCAGAGTGCTGGGATTAAAGTCAAGCCCCACCAGACTGGCTCTTCCTCTGACTTCTAATAAAAGTGTATTTTCCCTCCCTTCCTTCCTCCCTCCCTCCCTCCCCCTCTTTCCTTCCTTTCTTCCTTTGTGTGTATGTATGTGAGTTAAGCGTGCATGGCATGACAGACATGAGGAGGTTGGAGGACAATTTATGAGAGCTGGTTCTCTCCTTCCACCATGTGAGTTTTACAGCTCAAACTCAGGTCATTGAGTTTGGCAGCAAGCACCTTTATCCAGTAAGCCTTCTTGCTGACCCCAGGAGTTGCACTTTAGAAATCTCCCTTCTCTATATCTGTCAGAAATATAAAAATAAAACCTAGCTGGGTGTGGTGGTGCACACCTTTAATCCCAGCACTTGTGAGGCAGGCAGATCTCTGTTGAGTTCAAAACCAGCCTGGTCTACATACTGAGTTCCAGGCCAACTGGGGCTACAGGGAGACCCTGCCTCAAAAAGATCAAAAAACACCAAAATAACCTAAGGAGCTGGAGAGATGGCTCAGTGGTTAAAAAGCACTGGCTGCTTTTTCAAAGGACTAGGTTTGGTTCCCAGCACCCACATGGTAGCTAACAACCATCCGTAACTCCAGTCCTAGGAGACTGAATGCCCTCTTCTGACCTCCATGGGCACTGCATGACATGGGTGCATTTAGACTCATACACATAAAATAAATAAATAAATAAAAGCTAGGTTGTCAGGAGATGCCCAGTTCTCAGAATTTATCAATGGTGCTCTCTCTTATGGTGCTACCAGGGGCTGGCACGTGTCGGGTTAATATTCCACCACAGAACTACAGCCCCAGTCCAAAAGCTCCTCTTTCAAGACAGGGTCTCATGTATCCCAGACTAGCCTCAAACTTCCTATGCAGCTGGGCATATTCCTTTTTGTTTTGGAGGCAGGGACCCCCTGTAGCCCCAGCTGGCCTGGACTCCCTATGTAGACCAGGCTTGCCTCGACCTCACAGAGATCCATCTAACTCTGCTAAGATTAAAGGTGTGTGCCACCATGCCCAGTTTGTGACCTTGAACTTCTGATCTTCCTGTATCCATCATCCTGAGTGCTGGGGTGACAAGTGTGACCCTCCACATCGAGTTTATGTGGTGCCAGGGACTGAAGCCTGGACTTCGTACATGCTAGGCAAGCACTCTACCAACCAAGCTACCTCCCTAGGGCACTTGTTTTGAAGATAGAGACTTACTCTGTAGCTTAGATTAGCCTGAGACTATGTAGCCCAGGCTATCCTTCAACTTGTGGTGGACCTACCACTCAGTTCCTTTTCTTTTCCTCCACTCACCCCCTGCCTCTCAAAGCAGGCTGGCCTCAAACTTATTAGGTACCCCAGGTTAGTCTGAACTCTTGAGTCCTGCTCTGGACTCTCCTGACTCAGACTCATGATCACTAGAAGTACAGATATGAGCCAATATGCCTAGATGAGGAAAGCCTCTGAAGGGAAGGGTTTAAACCAACCTTAGATTGGGGTGTAGTTCAACTGAAGAGTGTTCTAAGCATGCATGAGTCCCTGAGTCAGATCCCCGCCATCACAAAAGATACATGAAGAAGAAAGCTGTTTTTGTCATTTTTACCCAGTGCTCCCTTTCCCAGGAAGCCTCTCTCTGGCTATTCTATTTGTTTTGCTTTGTTTTTTGAGACAAGAACTCCATATGTAGACCAGGTTGGCTTTAAACTCCCAGAGATCTGCCTGCCTCTGCTGGGATTAAGGGACTGTGCCACCACACCCAGCTTAAACTGTATATTCTTACATTGATTTCCACTCCTGCTAACAACCCACAGGAGGGAGGGTCCACATCTCCCAACAATGCTGCTCATTGCCAATCTTTAAACGTTTTTGCTAGGCTGTTGAGACAGCTCAGCTGATAAGGGCATATTGCTGCCAAGCCTGGACACTGAACTTGATTCCCAGGATCCACATGGAGGATGAAGAACTGATTCCCATAAGTTGGCCTCTGATCTTCACACTCATGATGTGGCATGCACACCCCCAAATAAATAAATAAATGAAAAATTAAGGGTTTTTTTTGAGATAGGGTCTCCCTATAGCCCCAGCTGGCCTGGAACTCAGAGATCTGCCTGCCTCTGCCTCCCCAGTGCTGGGATTAAAGGCCTGTGCCACCACGCCCAGCTAAAATTTTTTTTTTAAACAATATAATGTACAAAAGTATCTTATTCCAGCTTGTATTTCTCTGATTGGCGAAGCAAAACATAATCCCATTTTTTCTCTGTTTCTATTGTCAGTATTCCATTCTTCTTTTATTTACAGGAGTTTAAGAAAATACAGAGATTAACATTTGTCAGTTCTTACCTTGCATCCCCCTCCTGTCCCCTCTGTACCTTTCAGGCTTTGTTCACTCCTGGAACAGGATGTCTAATTCTTATTTGTTGGAACTGATGGAAATTTCCCTAGTATGCTGTCCAACCATGAAGAGTTATATGTTTTAAAAAAATATATTGAGGGCTGGGTATGTAGCTCAGTGGTACAGTATATAATTAGCATGGGTGAAATCACCTGCTCTATAAGTTAGGGAGGGAGGGGAAAATGGGAAAGAAGGAAAGTAGGAAGGGGAAAGGGAAGGCAGGATGAGAAAGGGAGGGATGGAGGGAAGGAGAGGAGGAAGGAAGGGAGCAAAGGGAAAAGGGGGGAAAATGAGGAGGGAGGGAGGAAGGAAGAGAGGGAAAGAGGGACGGAAGAGAAGGAAAGGAGGGAGGAGGAAGAAGATATCCTATGGGCTGTGTATAAAGTTCTACCTCTAACTAGAGCAAACTTGTCAAGCACTTACTGGCCATCCTGTCCATCTTACGTGTTAGTCCTGTGAACATATCATAGTCTCCTCTGGTGGCTTGTTAAACTGTCATGGTGTCTAGTAGTTTGTACTTTGTGGGTCTCAGGGTTAATTGCCAGTTACTTTAAGGATGTAATTATGAAAATTTCTTTGTGGATTTTAACTTCAATTTTTTTTTTCTTTTTTGTCTTTTTGAGACAGGGTCTCTCTGTAGCCCCAGCTGACCTGGAACTCGCTATGTAGACCAGGCTGGCCTCGAACTCACAAAGATCCGCCTGCATCTGCCTACAAAGTGCTGGGATTAAAGGCATGCGCCACCTTGCCCAGCTTTAACTTCAATTTTTTTTAAAAAAATTTTTATTATTTTTATGTGTGTATTGCCTGCATGTAGATAAGTCATGCAGTGCCCTTGGAGAACAGAAGAGGCTGTCAGATCCCCGAAACTGGAGTTACGGACAGTTGTTAGCTGCCATGTGGGTGCTGGGATTTGAACCTGGGTTTTCTGAAAGAACACCCAGTGTTCTTAACTGCTAAGCCATCTCTCCAGCCCCTTAACTTCATTTTTTTACATTATTTATGCATTTATTTATTTGTGTGTGTGCATATGGTTCATGTGGAGATCAGAGGACAGCTCTGCAAGTGGGTTCTTTCTTCTACCATGTGGGTTCCTGGGATCAATTTCAAATCATCAAGCTTCGTGGCAAGTGCCTTCTACTTTTTAACTTTCATTAGTATTTCTCTTCTGTTCCATTAAAAAAAAAAAAACAACAACAAAAAACAACACAAAGAGGTTGGTGGTGAAGGCCTGTAATCCTAGCTATTCAAGAGGACTGAAAGTTCAAGACAAGCCTGGGCAACTTAGTAAGACCTGTTTCAAAATAAAAATGACTGAGGATATAATCAGAAGTAGTGCCGTACTGGACAGTTTTAGTGTCAACTTGACACACCTGGGTTGAAGGAGCCTTAATTAGTGAATTGCCTTCATTGGATTGGCCTCCGGCCATGTCTGTGGGGCATCTTCTTGATTATTGAGTAATGTGGGAGGGCCCAGCCCACGGTGGGTGGTACCACCCCTGGGCAGGTAGGCCTATGTTGTGTAAGAAAGCAGGCTGTGGGGCTGGAGAGATGGCTCAGCGGTTAAGAGCACTGACTGCTCTTGCAGAGGACCTAGCTTCGATTCCTAGCACCCACATTGTGGCTACAAACCATCCTTAACTCCAGTTTCAGGGGAATCCAAAGCCCTTTTCTGACCTCCACGGCATTGCACAACATGGGTGCACTCACATGCAGGCAATGCACGCATACACATAAAATAAATAAAAAAGCAGGTTGAACAGGGGCCAGGGGAACAAGCCAATTCGCAGCGTTCCTCTGACCTATACTTTTGCTCCTGCCTCCATGTTCCTGCTCTGAATTCCTACCTTGGGCTTCCTCAGTGATGAACTGTGACCTGAGAGATGTAAGCCAAATAAACCCTTTCCTCCTCAAGTTGGTATTGGTCAGAGTATTTTGTCACAGCAATTGAAGGTAAACTACAGCAAGTATCTACCTAGCATTCCCCAGTGAGGAGCCAGGGGCATGGCTCAGTCATAGAGAACCTGCCTAGAATCCTCCAGTGAGGGGCTGGGGTGTGGCTCAGTCATAGAGCACCTGCCTAGAATCCTCCAGTGAGGGGCTGGGGTGTGGCTCAGTGGTAGAGCACCTGCCTAGAATCCCCCAGCAAGGGGCTGGGGTGTGGCTCAGTCATAGAGCACCTGCCTAGAATCCTCCAGTGAGGGGCTGTGTGTGTGGCTCAGTGATAGAGCACCTGCCTAGAATCCCCCAATGAGGGGCTGGGGGTGTGGGTCAGTGATAGGGCACCTGCCTAGAATCCCCCAATGAGGGCTGAGGTTGTGGTTCAGTGGTACTTTGTTTGCCTGAGGCCATAGTTCAATCCCAAGAACCACAAAATCAATCAATTAAAAGCCACCCTGCAGTCAGAGTAGCACAGTGGGAAGGTTGTGGGTAGAGGGTCAGGAAGTCTCAGCTCTGCCACTATGTGTTGTACAACTTGAAAACCTGCTTAATTACCTTATTTATAAAACAGCTCAATTTTATAAGTGTGTTTTTCATTCTGGGGATGGAACACAGCGTCTCAGCATTCTAAGCACACATTTTATCACTGAACCATACCCTAGCCAGGCTACATTTTAAAGACCTCAAAACCCTCTGACTAGAAGACCTTGGGTAGGCTGAGAGGTGGAAAGAACTCACCAAAGCTGTAACTCCCGGTTAGCATCCGACTGGCTGGCAATGAGGATGGAGAGGAAAAAGCAGGGTAGAGGAAGGGAGAGAGACAATGTGAGTCACTGGCTTGCCCCTGGACATTTGGTCTCAGCTGCCTGTGCCTGCTGTCCAGAACATCCAAAGGATGAGAGGCAGCCCCAGGGCTAAGGAGGCCAATGTCTGGGGGCTTGGAGAAGAACTGAAAAGTGTTTCCAAAGGTATCTCCAGAGTCTTCTTCAATTAAAAAAAAAAACTTTGCTGTTACAGGGATGAGTGTGGGCTTCTAGAGATTACCTTGAACTTGACCTATCTATCTGCTTGATCCTTTGGGGCAGCATATTATAGACAATCAAAACACCTTAGGGGAACAGGTCCTACCCACGTACATTTTCCAGGACTCAGGTTTCCTGTATTTCCTGAGGGGCTAGTGACATGGCTCAGTGGATCAAAAGAGCTTGTAGTTCATGCCTGATAACCTGAGTTTGATCCCTGGAACCCACAGTGGAAGGAGAGAGTCTTGAAAGTTGTCCTCTGACCTACACGAATGTTTTGGCATGCTTGCCACCCCCCAACATGTACGTACACACACACACACACACACACACACACACACACACGAAAAGAAGTAGAATTTCCTGGGGTAGAAACCCCTGTCAAAATTGTAGCTGGTTTCCTTACATGAAAAACAGAGCCACAGTGCCCCCTGTCTGAGAGTGACATGCACCACATCCATGGTTCCAGGAGAAGCAAGTGACTCTTTCCTAAGGTGAGTGAGGATGTGAAGGAAGGGTGATGTATGGAAGTAGATGGCTGATGCTGTTGAAAGAGACTCATGGAACGGGTGGGGCAGTTTACCTGTGGGAGTTGGCTGGGCCTGGAATGGGGTTTGACCTGCTGGAGGAAGGCTTCCGAAGGCTGAAGAGCCAGGGCTGCTGCTGAAGGCATCAAAGTTGGCAAAGCCCCCATGGGCAGGAGTCTGGCCTTTAGGTGGAGGGAATATAAAGGTTGCAAAGAGGGGACTGGAGAGATGACTCAGCGTTAAGAGCACTGGCTGTTCTTGCAGAAGACCCAGATTCGAATCCCAGAGCGTGCACTTGTGCGCGCACACACACACACACACACACACACAGTGGTTAACAACCATTCATAGTTCCAGTTCCAGGGAATCTGACACCCTCTTCTGACCTTCATGGGTATTTCATGACACAGGTGCACCTTTACACAAGCAGGCTAGATACTCATACACATTAAAAAAAAAAAAAAAAAAAAGGTTGCAGAGAACTGTTTACATGATCAGGCATGGTGGCGCACACCTGTGATTCCCAACACTCAGGAGGAAAGGGTGGGAGGATCGTGAGTTCAAGACCAGGCTGGGCTACTTAGCATGTTCTTGTCTCAAAAACCCGAGTTCAATCCCCAGAACCCATGTAAAAAACCAAAACAAAACCACAAAAAAAACAACAACCAGACACTGTGGTATGCTTGTAATCCCAACATGACACAAAGAGACAGGTGGATCTCTGGGACTGACTGGTCAGCCAGCCTAGCCTACTTGGCAGGTCTCAGTGAGAAACTGTCTAAAAAGATGGAGGCTGGAGAGATGGCTCATCAGTAAAGCTGCACTTGCAGAGGACCCAGGTTCGGTTCCCAGCACCCACATGGCTGAGAGCAACCAGCTGTAACTCCAGCTCCACAGGCTCCAATGCCGTCTTCTGACCTCTGCGGACACTGCACACTTGTGTAGGCAAAACACTCATACACATAAATTTTTTTTTTAAGGTGGACAGTACCTGAGGAATAACACCCAAGGTTGTTCTCTGGTCTCAACATGCACATGTGCACATATATGAATATGCACAACACAAAAAGGGAATGATTATACAACTCTTGGTTCTCTAACTTCAGCTTCCTAAATACTGGGATTACAGGCATGCACTACCACGCCCAGCTCCCTTCCCATCTTAGCAGAGAGAAATTAATAAAACAGACTCTTTGAGGTACTGGCCAGATGGCTCCATGGTTAAGAGCACTGGCTGCTCTTGTAGAGGACACAGTTCAGTTCCCAACACCTACATGGTGGCTAACAAAACCTCTTTAACTCCAGTTCCAGGGTCCCTTTTCTGGCCTCTATGGGCACTTCCATACATGCAGACAAGACATTCACATTTTTTTAAGGCTCTTCCAATGTTAAAGGAGATGCTACGAGCTGCCAGCTCTAATGCTTTATGGCCAAACCCTCAAATACAATGCTTGCTTTCTCTGTGACCCCAATCCTGCCAGTCACATAGAACAGTCAGTGCCAAAGGGACTAAATAAGTCTACAGGACATAAGCAGGTTATTGTCACTCACCTCCAAAGGCTGGGAATGTGGCGAAGGCTGGCACCACCTGAGGAGCAGCAAAGGGGTCTCCACCGATATCAGCCAGCAGGTCAGTGCTGGCTTTCTTGGTGGATGAATTGGAAAGAGGCTGAGCGCTCCGGGCCGTTCGAGCCTGAGACTGGCTGGCAGACTCAGGAAAGAATTGCATGTGGCACTTAGAATCCCACACACAACCTAGACCCCTCCAGAGCTCCCCAGGCTTCCCCCAGACAGGTAAACAGAAAAAGGAAAGACTGAAGTCGGTGCCTCAGCTAAGAGGGTTCCCATGTGGAGGTTGCCCAAGTCCCCCTTATAACTCAGCTAGTCCTCAACCCAGAACATCAGCCCTAAGAACTAGGTATTTTAGAAAACCTTAGTCAGGTGACACTGAAATACATGGGAAGATGTCCCACAATGCCTAGGGTTTGCTACCAATTCATCTTTCCTAGGTACTGGAAGCACTGTCCTGGCCCCTTGGAGGACAGGTCAGGATGGAGGGCAACATTGTGATTTCCTTAAATACCACTTCCTGTTGGGGTCTGTCTTGCAAAAAATCTGAGGTACAGGGGACAGGAGAGATGGCTCAGGGGTTAAGAGCACTGGCAGCCCTTGCAGAGGACCCAGGTTTGGTTCCCAACACTCACATGGTAGCTAACAACCACCTGTAACTCCAGTTCTAGGGGATCCAATGCCCTCTTCTGGCTCCTGTGGGCACTTAAATACATGCAAAACACTCATATACATAAAATTAAAAAAAAAAATCTGAGGTCCAGAGGTGACAGATGCAAGCCAACAGTAACAGCAGGGCTGAGAACTTATAGTGCCTGTGTTGTTTGTCTGCTACATCCAGGGGGTCTGACTTATTTAGGAAGGATACACTCACCTCACAGTCTAACTAAATCTCAATAGGAATCTGAGTATCAGCTCTGAGGGTTACCTGGCTTGATGTGGAAGCAACGTCCGAGAGAGACGGCACGGCATCCCCCAGAAGTGTACGCAGGGGCTTCCCTTCTGGGATGGAGCCTGGCACAAGGGTGGAGGCACTGCCTTTGGTATAAGAAGGCCCTTTGACTTGCTCTGGGGGGACATACCTGTGAGAAAGAACAGTTAAGCTGTAAGGAAAGTTAAAACTGTGAATCATGCTCAGCAGAGGTGCTTGGGAAAAACACAGGCTCCAGGGGTCAAAGACTTTTTTCTTCACTAAGTACCCTTTAGGAATAGAGAATTTAGCAATTGTGGTGGGTAGCTTTGTCAACTTGACACACCTGGGTAGAAGGAGCCTCAATTGGGGAATTGCCTCCATTGGACTGGCCTGTGGCCATGTCTGTAGGGCATCTTCTTGATTATTGAGTGATGTATGAGGGCTCAGGCTACTGTGGGCAGTGCCACCCTGGGCAGGTGGTCCTGTGTTACATAAGAAAGCAGGGTGTCGGATCCCCTAGAACTGGAATTACTGCCATGCACGTGCTGGAAATCAAACCTGAGACCTCTACAAGAGCAGTCAGTGCTCCTAACTGCTGAGTCATCTCCCCAGCCCGTTTTTGTTCATTTTGAGACAGGGTCTTATGTAGCCCAGGCTGGCCTTGAATTGCTGATCTCCTCCAGGGTGCTGGGATTAGGTGTGTAACACATCCAGGCTTTATTGAATTTTTTTTCTGCATGAATGCTCCGTCTGTTCTAGGTTGTGTCTATTTGTCCTCTTCTTCAAAAAAAATTATTTAGCATATGTTAATTAGCAAAATAATGGTTCTCTCCTCTTTTAAAAATGATCTTATTTACTTATTTATTTACTTTGGGATAGTCTCCTGATGTACCCCTAGCTGTCCTCAAACTCACTATGTAGACCTGGCTGTTCTTGAACTCACAGAGCTACATCTGCTTCTGCCTCCTGTATGTGGGATCATACTCCAAGCCTGGCCTGATAACAGCTGCCTACAGAGGCCAAAAGAAGGCATTAGGAGTCAGGCATAGTGGCAGACCCCTTAAATTCCTGCACTTGGGAGGCAGAGGCAGGTGGATCTCTGTGAGTTTGAGGCCAGCCTTGTCTACATAGCAAGTTCCAGGCCAGCTGGGGCTAAAGAGGGTATCAAATCCCCTGGAGCTGGAGTTACAGGTAGTTGTGAGCTGCCCAAAACAAGAGTGTTGGGAATAGAACTCTGGAAGAATAGCAAACTCTCGTAACTGCTGAGCCGTCTCTCCAATCCCACTCCTCTTTTTATTTTTTTGTCTTTTTGAGACAGGGTCTCCCTGTAGCCCCAGCTGTCCTGGAACTCACTATGTAGACCAGGCTGGCCTCGAACTCACAAAGATCCGCCTGCCTCTGCCTCCCATCCCACTCCTCTTTTTTTAAACTTATTTTTAAAACTTATTTATTTCTTGTGTGGGGGGGGCAGTGGTACATGCAACTGTACACATGTGGCAGTCAGGATGACTTGAAGGAGTTGGGTCTCTTCTTCCACCACGTGGATCCCTGGGATCAAATTCAGATCATCAGGCTTGGCAAACGTTTTCTTTACCTGCTGACATCTCTTGATATCTCAAACCATCTGGGTTTTAAGTAATCATACATACAATAACATTGATGGGTCAGTGATCCTATTTCTCCCACCCCAGGGATCAAACTCAGCCTCCCACGTTAGACGAGCCTACTACCCCAGAGGTGAGCCCTTTTTGTATTTTTTTATTTTGAGCCAGGGTATCACTAAGTTGCCTAGCCTGGCCTTGATTTCATACTATAGCCCAAGCAGGCCCTGAACTTTCCATTTCCTTCCCTAAGCCTCCTAAAGTAGCTGGGATGACAGGCCTGTACCACCAGGCCCAGCTTCCTGTGTGTTTCTTCAGATTCCTCCTCCTCAGTCCCATAGAGGGGTCCACACCGCATCTGTTCTATCAGGACCTCCAGCTCCTGCTACTACTGATAGAAGACGCTCCTTTCTGTTGTGTACAGTGCCTATTCTGGAAGCATCTTACTTCTATAACACTGCAAGGAGGGTCTCAAAAGGTAGTCTTGAGCTGGGTGTGGTGGCGCATGCCTTTAATCCCAGCACTCGGGAGGCAGAGGCAGGCGGATCTCAGTGAGTTCAAGGCCAGCCTGGTCTACATAACGAGTTCCAGGATAGCTGGGGCTACAGGGAGACCCTGTCTCAAAAAGGCCCCCCCCACAAAAAAAGGTAGTCTTGGGCTAGGGAGATGCTCAGTGAGTGAAGTGCTTACTGGGCAAGCGTGAGGACCTGAGTTTGGATCCCCAGTACCCAAGCCGGGTGTGGTGGCACATGCACCTGTAACCCCAACTCTAGGGTGTGGAGACAGACAGTTCCTAGGGCTTCCTATCCAGCCAGTCTAGCTAAATTGGCTCAGTGAAGGACTCTGACTGGAAAAATAAAATGAAATGGCTCAGGGGGTTAAGCAGCCTGCTGTCAAACCTGACCACCCGAGTTCAATCCTAGAACCCACATGGAGAGACCCTGTTCCACAAAATTGTCCTCTGACCTCCACACATGCACATCAGCACACATGAACCCACACACATACACACATAATAAATGTAATTTAAAAAATAAAATGGAGACGTAACTGAGGGAATTATCCCTACATCAACCTCCATGCTGCCCCCACCCTCCACACCTATCTCATCGTGTTGATCTTTTTGCTCCTGCACTTTCTTTTCTACCATATAGTTCTCTACTCAGCCTCTCCCCACCCTTACCATCCCTAACATGCACACACCTTAAAGACTCAGAAGACAGAATTTATGGAGAGAAAAGGTACGAGGAAAACGGAATCTCTAGGGGCTGGAAGGATGAACCAGCAGTTAGAAACACTTGTTTCCTAATGCACAGGACCTGAGTTCAATTCTAAGAATCCATATGGCATGGCTCACAATAACCTATAACTCCAGTTCCAGGGGATCAATTTGGTGCCTTGTGGCATCTGCAGGCACTACACACCTGTGATGCATACACATATACTCAGGTACACACATACAACTATAGGATGTGTGTTTTCAGCCATGTTTCCCGTATAGATGAGATTGACTGAGCTAGAGCTGTAAGAACTAGTCCCCACTCTAACCAGCACCCCCAACCAGGTGTGGTGACACATCTTTAATTCCAGGGCTTTGAAGGCTGAGAGACAGGCAGATCTCTGAGCATTCCAGGCCAGCATGATCTACATAGAGTTCCAGACTAGCCAAGGCTACATAGTGAGACCCTGTTCTGGTTTGCCTTTAATTGCTGTGACAAAATACTCTGACCAATACCAACTTGAGGAGGAAAGGCCTTGGCTTTCATCTGGCTTACATCTCCCAGTTCATCACTGAAGAAGCCCAAGGTAGGAACTCAGGGCAGGAACCTGGAGGCAGGAGCTGGAGCACAGGCATGGATGAACACTGCTTACTGGCTTGCTCCCCTGGCACATGTTCAACCTGCTTTCTTATACAACACAGGCCTACCTGCCCAGGGGTGGCATCACCCATAATGGGCTGGGCCCTCCCACATCACTCAATAATCAAGAAAATGCCCCACAGACATGGCCATAGGCCAGTCCGATGGAGGAAATTCCACAATTGAGGTTCCCTCTACCTAGGTGTGTCAAGTTGATAACCAAAGCTATCTAGCACAGAACCTGTCTCAAAAAAAAGGCACCTCAATCAGTCCCCCCTGAAAAAGACAACATCGGTACTGCAGGGTTAGGGCTGGGAATGTGGCTCAGTTGGTGGAGTGCTAGCCTAGCATGCACAAAGTCCTGAGTTCAATTCTCAGCACCACATAAACCAGGTGTAATGGTTCATGCATGCCTATACTCTCAACACTGGGGAAGTGAAGTAAAGAAGTTTAGAAATTCAAGGTCATCCTTGAATATATAGGGAGTCTGATACATAGGAGTCTGAGACCCTATCTAAAACAAAATTACAGGACTAGGGTCTGGAGAGATGGCTCAGTGGTTAAGATCACTGGATGCTCTTGCAGAGGACCTGGGTTCAGTTCCCAGAACCCACACGGTGGCTAACAAGGATCTGTAACTTCAGTTCCAAGGAATTCAACTCCCTTTTCTGGCCTCCATGGGCACTGCACTCATGTAATACACCTACATACATGCAGGCAAAACATTCATAAAATAAAAAAATATATTTAAAAAAAACACTACAGGGTAATTCTTTCATGTCATATGTTTTTTTTTTTTCTCTCTTTTCTTTTATTCTTTTTTTTAGACAGGGTTTCATGTAGCCTAGGTTGGCCTCAAATTCCATATATAGCTGAGGATGACCTGGAATGTCTGATCCTCCTGCCTCAGCCTCCCAAGTGCTGTGATTACAGGAATGCACCACCAACCCTTGGCTTCAATTTGTTATTTTGAAGTCAGAATTTAGCTCTAATTTAATCTGGAGTGAGGGTGTAGGTGGGGAATAGACCTACTCAAGCCTGGTCTTTGATGGAAATGTTAACGAGAGACTGTTGAGTGACACGTCTTGGACATGTGTCTCTCTTTTCTTCTTCCTTACCATCTCTTCTTCTCGTATTTTTCCTGGAGAAACTCCTTCACTTTCTGAGGGTCCCTGGAATCTGGTATTAAAGATGTCCGTGCATCAAAAAGACCCAGCCAGATCTTCCGGCAGACCTGAAGGGATAGAATCGGTATCAGGAGTGAGGGCAGAAGGCAGGATGTGATGGATGCTGTCAGCAGACCTCTGATTGATGTCAGCAGGTCAATATCATTTCTGTTGACATATCCACAGATAAGTATCTACTGAGCCTGGACACAGTGCTAGGAATTACATGCACCTACAAATGAGATCAGATCCCAACCCCATAGTTTATAATCTAAAGGGAGATCTTTCCTTACATAAATATACAAATTTATATAACACAAGAGATGTATTAAAAATGAAGAATCAGCTCCAAAGAAAACTGTTTGGGGGCTGCAGGGGTGGGTCAGGAGGTAAAGGCACTTGTTGACCTGAGTTTGATCCCTGGGACCCACACGTGGTGGAAAGACAGAAATAACTCCCATTACGTTCTCCTCTGACCTCCACACGTGTCAAGGCACACTGGCACCCTCTCATCCCCCCACCCCCAGCATGTGAGCACAGAAAACAAAGAAAACAGTAGGGATTTTCAACCTTGAGATAAAGCTTTGCTATCAAGTGGGGCTGCTGCAGTTTGCTACCTCTTCCTTCAGCAGCGGCTCACCTCATTTCCACGAGATTGCAGGAATAGGACTTCAGGCTCGGTGAAAGTTGTCATGGAGATGGACTTGACTCGATGAGGGGGGTTCAGGCCTCTCCTGTGGAGTAGAGACAGAGAAGTACAATGTAGTGAGTGAAAGGAAGACTGAAGCAGCACATAAGGCTCAGTTAGAACCAGAAACCAGGGATGGGGGGGTGTGGTTCAATAGTAGAGCACTTACCTACCTAGAATCCCTCAGTGAGGAGCTGGAGGCGTGGCTCGGTGGTAGAGCACCTGCCTAGAATCCCCCAGTGAGGGGCTGGGGTTATGGTTTATCAGTAGAGAGTTTGCTTAGCATACACAGACCCTAAGTTCCATCCCCAGAACTGGAGAGAAACAACCAAAAATCCCTATGAAAGTCCAGGAAGATGGCTCAGTGGGTACAGATGCTTGCCAAGTCTGATGATCTAAGTTTTATTTCCAGGACTCACATGATAGAAGGGAAGAACCAACTCTCACAGGTTGTCCTCTGGCCTCCACATGTGCACTGCAGCACTCATGTTCCAACTCCCCAAATAAACAAACAAATAAATAAATCAATGTACTAAAAATGTTAAGTCCTGACCAAAAGTTACTTCCTAATTTCAGCATAAGACATAAAGGAGACTTCTTGGAGAAACAAAGAAGAAAGTCAGGATCAACTGTGGAGGCGGATGGAGCCTGTGATCCAGGTGCCCTGCAAGCCCCTAGATCCTGGAGGCTGAGGGGCCACTTCTGGGAATGGAAACAGGCAGCCACATCCCATTTTCCTGCTCTTGTTATTGTTATTCAGGTCCCTTGAGAGAGGGCAAAAGAGAAGGCCTTTAACAATGCTGATAACAATAACAACAGATGGATAAAAGCAGCCTCTCTCCTTAACAGAGGGGTGGAGTGATGAGTGGGAATGGACAGGACCCTTCTCTTTCAGAAAGCCATCTCTGGAAAAAGAAATATTCCAAACTTTCTTCCTGGACCTTTTTTTTAAAAAAAAATTATTAATTTTATGGGAGTGTTTGGCCTACGTTTATGTAAGTGCACCTACATGTACGTAAATGTACTTGTGTTGTGCAATGCCCACAGAAGCCAAAAGAGAGCATCGGATCCCCGGAACTGGAGTTATAAATGGTTGTTAGCCACAATGTGGGTGTTGGGAATTGAACCTGGGTCCTCTCTGCAAGGGCAGCTAGTCTTTCCAGCTCCCTTCCTAGATCCTTTTAAAAACATTATTTTAGCCAGGCATGGTTATGCAAGCCTTTAATCCCAGGATTTGGGAGGCAGAGGCAGGCGTATCTCTGTGAGATAGAGGTCAGCCTGGTCTACACAGCAAGTTCTAGACTAGCTGTGGCTACAGAGAGACCCTGTCTCAAAACAACAACAAAAAATATATTTTAAGTACATGAGTGTTTGCCTGCATGTAGGTATGCAATGCCCATGGAGGCCAGAAGAGAGCATTAGATTCTCTAGAACTGGAGTTAAAGATGGTTAGCCACTATGTGGGTGCTAGGAATTGAACCCAGCTCCTCTGCAAGAGCAATCAGTGCTTTGAACTCCTGAGTCATCTCTCCAGCCCACTTCTTAGATCTTTTAATAAAGCAAGAAGTTAAAACAACAACAACAACAACAAAAAGTCAAGTTCAACTGGGCATGGTGGCACACGCCCTTGATCCCAGCACTCAGGAGCAAAAAAAAAAAGTCAAGTCCAATCAAGAGATATAATTGCACTGGCAAAGAGCAAAGCTCCTGTTCTGTTAACTCCCTGGGTATGTAGTTCTGCATGCACAACTCTTGTGGAGGCTACAGCAGAAAACAAAGATTCCTTACCCCTACTAACTTGGCTTCTAGAAGGTTCTAACAGAGGAAGCCTAGCGCTCAGCTAGGTAGGGGCTTCATAGGTTCCCCTTTCTTAATTTTCTGACATTTATTTATTCATTTATTCATTCATCTATGTATTGTGTGTATGCTCCACAGCACATATGTGGAGGTCAGAGAACAACTTTCAGGAGTCACTTTTTTCCTTTTACCATGTGGGTCCCAGAGGTCGAACTCAGGTTGTCAGGCTTGGCAGCAAGCACCGTTACCCACTGAGCCATTTCACCAGCCCCCTGGTTCCCCTTCTTTAGACTTTAAAACTTTACTCTGGTCTAGACCTACTGCTTTCACTTTAAAACAAAACCAGTCAAACCCAAACAAACAAATTAGACCTGGGAATGAGACCATACCCATGTCAGAAAGAGTTTCCAATATCGAGGCCTCTTTAGCTTTGAAAAACTGGGTAGGGGCTGGGGCTGTACCTCAGTTAGTAGAGTGCTTACCTAGCATGCAAAAAGCTCTGGGTTTTAGCCCCAGCCTCAAAACAATGGGGTGTAGTGATGCACACCTACAATCCCAGCTCCTAGGATATATAGTTAGGAGGATTAGATGGTCAAGGCCATCCTCAGCTACATAGCAAGTTGGAAGCTAGCCTGGGATACATAAAACTGTGTCTCAAATAAATAAAAATAGAGAAGTGATAACATTTGCCAAATGGAAATTTTTTTTTTTTTCAGTATTTTTGAGACAGGGTCTCTCTGTAACCCCAGCTGACTATGTAGAGCTGGCTAGCCTTGAACTTACAGAGATTTGCCTGCCTCTGCTTCCCAAGTGCTGGGATTAAACGCATGCACCACACCTGGCTGGAAATTTTAATCTACCGATCTTTTTTGTCTTTTTGAGACAGGGTCTCCCTGTTGCCCCAGAGAGCCTAGAACTAGCTGTACAGAATAGACTGTCCTTGTCTCACAGAGATCCACCTGTCTCTACCTCCTGTGTGCTGGGATTAAAGGTATATGCTACCACACCCAGTCTTACCCAATTGTTTAAAAGTTATTATTTTTATCTTATGTGTATGAGTGTATTGCCTGCATGTATCTAAGTGTATCCGTGTTGTTCAATGCCCATGGAGGTCAGAAGAAGGCATCGGATCCCCTTGAAATTGGAATTATTTATGGACGCTTGTTAGCTGCCATGTGGGTGCTGGAAACTGAACTCAGGTCCTCTGCAAGAGTAGCCAATGCTCTTAACTGCTGAGCATCTCTCCAGCCCCTTACTAACAATTTTTAAATATTTTAAATTATATGCATATATGTTTGTATATACATGTGAGTGCAGGTACATTTGGAGTCCAGAAGAGGGCATCAGATCTCCTGGAGCTGGAGTTACAGGCAGTTGTGAGCTGCCCAACTTATGTTCTGGGAATTGAACACAGGTCCTCTTCAAGAGCATTACATGTTCTTAACTACTGAGTCATCTCTACAGTCCCAACCAACCTTTTTTTTTTTTTTTTTTCTTCTCGTCTTTTTGAGACAGGGTCTCCCTGTAGTCCCAGCTGTCCTGGAACTCATTATATAGACCAGGCTGGCGCTGAACTCACAGACATCCACCTGCCTCTGCCTCCCGAATGCTGGGATTAAAGGCGTGTTGGAACTCATTATATAGACCAGGCTGGCCTTGAACTCACAAAGATCCACCAGCCTCTGCCTCCCAAGTGCTGGGACTACAGGCGTGCGCCACCATGCCCGGCTACAACCAAACATTTTTTAAAAGTGAGGAAACAGGGCTGGTGAGATGGTTCAGCTGGTAAAGGTGCTTGCCACCAAGCCTGACAACTTCAGTTTAATCCCTGGGACCCACAAGGTAGAAGGAAAGAACTGACACTTGAAAATTCTAACCTCCACATGTACACCCTGGCTCAGGTGCACCCACACACATACATAATAAATGTCATAAAAAAGTAAAAAAAAATTAGAAAGTGAAATGGAGAAACAGGTCAGCCGTTAAGCATGCTGGCTGCTCTTACAGAGGACCTGGGTTTGGTTCCCAACACCCACATGCCCACATGGCAGCTAACAACTGCCTGCATCTCCAGTTACAGGATATCTGGTACCCTCTTCTGGCCTCTGCAGGCATTACAGAATGTGATACACTTGCATACATGCAGGCAAACACTCATAAAACAAAATTTAAAAATTTTAGACGAGGAAGGGACCAGGGAGATGAATCAGTGGTTATCCTAGTTTGTTTCTCCATTGCTGTGACAAAACACTCTGACCAATACCAACTTGGGGAGGAAAGGGTTTATTGGGCTTACATCTCCCAGGTCACAGTTCATCAGGGAGCCCAAGGTAGGAACTCAGGGTGGGAACCTGGAAGAACTCTGCTCATTGGCTTACTATCCTGGCCCCTACTCAGCCTGCTTTCTTATGCAACACAGGCCCACCTGCCCAGGGATGGCACCATCCACAGTGAGCTGGGCCCTCCCACATCACTCAACAATCAAGAAAATGCCCCACAGACATGGCCACAGGCCAGTCCAATGAAGGCAATTCCCTAATTGAGGCTCCCTCAACCCAGGTGTGTCAAGTTGACACTAAAGCTATCCAGCACAGTGGTTAAAGTGTTTACTGAGCAAACATGAAGGCCAGAGTTCAAATCCCCAGCACTCACATAAATTCTGGGTGGGCACAGTAGCCAAGCTGCAATTCTAATGACAAGAAGATGGAGATCCTAGAACAAGCTAACAAGCAGAGTAGTTAAATTTGTGAGCTCTGGGTTCAGTGAGAGATTCCGTCTCAAAGAATAAGGTGGATTCAGGAAGTCTCCCAACATCAACCACAGGCTTCTACATGCATACATTGTATGTATATCAGCACACACACAAGCACACACATTTAAAAATGAGAAAAACACCTGCTGGGCACGGTGTTGCACACTTTAATCCCAGCACTTGGGAGGCAAAGGCAGGCAGATCTCTGTGAGATCTAGGCCAGCCTGGTCTACACAGCAAGTTCCAGGCCAGCCAGGGCTTAGAGTGATAGACCATTTAAAAAAAAGTAAGAGGAAAAACACATTTGTGCTCACAGGTGGGCGCCTGCCAAGTCCAGAAGGCAACAAACCTGTCACTGTAAGTGTCCGCAAAGGGCAGGGAGGGGCAGGCGACATGCCTCAGAGTGAAGGCCACTGCTCTCAAATGATCAAGTACTCATTAAGGGATTCTAGCAAAAGCCAGGACATGGGAGACTACAGACCAAGTCATTCTGCTGC